GATGTCATCGCCTCAATGAGATGCAACCCACGCTTCTTGGCCCGGTCAAGATGCCAATCCTGCTTGCCAATGAGCTGAGCGCAGAGTGACAGAATATCAATCGATAGTTCGTTACAGTTCGTCGCTCCTACCTCAGACTCGTATGCCCTTGCGGTGACACCATCGATGCGAGTGATCTCACGCAACTCCTTATTCGTGAACTTAGCCTCGGGAAAGCCCCTTCGGCCCACAACTGATACCTGGCTGAGCAACATACCGTACGAGAGTCTACGAAGAACACCGACTTTGCCAGAGTTCGGTGGACGCTTCGATAGCCACTGCAGAGCCTCTCTGCTGATCTCGGTGCTCTCGAACTCCCCTACTGGCTTGGACAGCACACGAGCAACGTCCAAGGCCACATTGCCGTGACCAATAACAACAACCTTTTCCGTCTGAAGCAAGCATGCCCTCTAGATACCATCTTGAGAGACTCTCCACTCACCTCCTCAGCCGGAGGCAGCATGGACGTCACCGCGGCGAAGTCTGGATGCCCATTGTACCATGAGACCTGGACAGAAGCTCATACCACCAACAAGAGCGCAATCACTCACGAAGTCCCGCGCCGACAATATGCCTCGTCGGACTTGCTCACTTCCTGGCAGCCCGAGACGGTGTGCATCCTGAGCACCAGTCGCTACTACAATCCCGTCATAGTGCTGCTGTAGGCTCGACAGCTGAGGGGAAAACTACAAACACTTGGGCGGAGCGAAGCACCATACCTTCGGCTCAGCCTCGGCAAAGAGGCGAAAGCGGTCGTGATATTCATGAGCAACTGCTCGGAACTCGTTACGGACATTTTTCACTTCAGGATGGTCCGGCGCGACGCCATAGTTGACCAACCCGAACGGCTCTGGCAACCTATCAGGGGAATTTTTCCACTCAGCACAGCGTTGCCCTCTACCGTTCAAACATGTCGATACGTGCTGAATCTAACTGCCGCATTATGTACTTTGCAGTGTAGAAGGCTCCCGGGCCCGAGCCGATGACGGCTAGTCTTGGAGCAATCTTGGAGAGGACTGGTACGGACAGTCGAAGGAATCCATTTGGGATCCTCGACGACATCGTGAAAAGTACTTTGTCGAACTACGAGCGTTGTTGAAAGAGGAATTGGATGATCCCCTCCACTGTAACACGAGACGCCTCGTCAGTAACATCAGAAAGCAATAGCGATCACATGCTTAGAGTAAGCTTAGTCCAGCCGAGGTATGTTAATGATGAGTACTGCGTCATAAGGGCGACCCTCTCTCTACCGCCGAGACATATACACTAACACGATAAGACTTCGAGGTAGAAATGTCGTTGAGCTAAGCACTGGGACAGAGGCTCTCAACCTCTACCCCTTGCTGCTTGTCATCTCCCGTATATCACAACCGCCTGTAAGCTGTATCCGCCCTCGCACAATCACTTCAGTGCCGAATTCGACTTCCGACTACTCTTCTGAGGCAGTGTATCCTTCCTCATAGACAAGATACCTTACAGAGACTCACTTTAGATCGTCGAGGAGATGGGGCTGAAACGTGGGAAAAGGTACCACTCACCCTCGTACGAGATCTTCTAGTGGCCAACGATCTCGATGACCTATAATGGGTTTGTTGTTAGCAACACGCTCGATGATATCCGCCTGGATTCAATACCCTCCAGTGTTGGCTATTTTCGAAGTGTAACTCACTGCTAATACTGAGCATTATCACACATATATCTATAGACCAACACCAAGTTTGATAGGATGGACCCTCTAGTATTACCTCATGTCATTAGCAGCACGAGTCGTCAATCGACCTCCACAGTGGAAGCATACAGGATAGAGGAAATGAGGATACAACTCGTCAATGGACAGCTCGATACCTTCTGAGCCTCACCTACTATAACTCAATTTAATACAAGACGATACCACAAAACTAGTCAATAGTGGTATCTTAAAATTGTGTTAAGGATTTACTCGAGTGGTTGCTTTCTCAAATCACAATGGGGACATGCTGAGGTTCCGGGTTCGAACCGCACGCCTGACAATTCCTTCAAAAAATAACGTGGCCATTGTGTGTGCGGAATGCGATTGTCGTGATACGCGAGAGAATACCGTACACGGTGTACACCTCTCCTACCACTTCATTACTAGTCTTCATAGCAGCACAACAAACAGAGTATCAACGGGTTAGATCCTGTGAGCCTTGTTCGAGTTCACCGCACTGTTTTGAACACTAATCATCTTGGCAGTAGAGAAACACTTATTAAATAGTTCATCATATATGCTATACAGTTCTCATCTCTGTCGTCACTTGTTTCGGCGACTTGCTCTCATCACGGCCTGGGTAAGGGCGATCCAAGCAGCGAACCCTCTCAGCACTCACCTAGATCTCGCTGTTCCCCACTAGTAGGCTCCGCTCCGCCACCATTAACTTCCCCATCGAGGAAATTGACAAATTTGTCCGCAAGGGAGGAGTTCCGCGTCAACTATCATACAGACGTGAGCACAGCGAGTGTCTACCACTTCCCTACCGTAGGACCGGTACTGGCTGAGTACCGCCTCACAGGCAGACCACACTCACGTCGGACCTCATCTGGTAGCCGTATGACCTCTGCCATCACCGACAATGCATCTGTCCGAACAGCTGAACTGAAGAAAAACCACATCGTTCGACGAAGAAACTCCGCTCCGCCCTGCCCTTTACTTATCGATATTCGCAGCAACACGAACCAGCATCTGCCGCAATATACCAGCATCAACTCTATCCTCGTCATCTAGCTTCTCAGAGAGCTCAGCACGATCAGCCACGACT